GGGTCCTCATTTTACCCACCTCGGAAGGATGGAAGGCTGAGTCAACCCTGAGCCTGGTGGGATTTGAACTGCTGAACTGCAGTCAGCTGAAGTAGCCTGCAATGCTGCATTTAACCACTGCGCCACCTTGGCTCTAGGTACGATTCCTTCTCTACCCCTGGCAAGAGAAAGTGTGGGAGATTACCTCTGCGTTGGCTCCTCGGAGTCGGCTCTGGCTGTCGTAGAGGCTGTTGGTTTCTCGACTATTCTCGGACGCTGGGATATCTTCACTGGCCGGAGAGGGCTCCGGGCTAGCGAAAGAAGACTTGCTGGGGAAGGAATGGACGTCGAAGCGAGGACTGGAAGGGTGGAGGGCCCCGTCCCCCGTGCTTCCTTCCTCGTGCCCCTTCTCCAGGTGAGAAGTGTCCAGAGGTTCGTCCAAGACCACCTTCTTCTCCTTCTTCCGCTGATTGCACGTGGTGGCGATGGTGATGATGGCCACCAGGAGCAACGTACAGCTTCCCGCCAGGATAATGATGACGATTAAAGGGACGTCCCATTGCAACGGTTGGTCTTCCCAAGAGCCGGGCTTGGCCGCGGAATCCTGGCCACTAGAGGGAGGCAGCGAGGCGGTCACCAGGAAGTTGACCACCACGGTGGTGGAGAGAGGTGGCAGCCCACTATCGGCCACGGTGAGAAGCAAGGGATAGACTTGGCCCAGCTGCTCTTCAGATAAGCTCCTCCGGAGCGTGACCTCCCCTGTTTTCTGGTTGATGGCAAAAAGATCCAGAGATCTTTCCTGTTGCTGAGGATCCTCTGAGAAAGTGAAGCTCAGCTCTGAGCTGGAGCCCTCGTCTGCATCTCGGGCCTTGATGCGCGCAACCAGGGACTCTCGAGAAGCTCTGCTGGAGACGCCAATTTCAAGAGAGCCGTTGGTGAGCGCAGGAGAAGTAATGACCGGAGCGTTGTCGTTCTGGTCCATCACCCGTACCTTGACCATGGCCGTAGTGGAGAGCGAAGGAGATCCCCCATCCGACGCTTGGATGGACAACTCCATCTCCTTCAGGATCTCATAGTTGAAAGTCCGCAGGGCGTAGATGGCTCCCGTGCCCGGATCGACAGAAACGTAGGTGGAGATCGAGGCGCCCATGATTTGGTTGTCCAGCAGGCGGTAGGTCACTTTGCCGTTGGGCCCCAGGTCGGGGTCGGAGGCGGCCACGGTGGTCAGGTAGGCCCCCGGGGGGTTGTTCTCGGGCAGGGCCACCTCGTAGCGCGCCTTGGCGAAGCGCGGGGCGTTGTCGTTCTCGTCGGCCACGCGGACGGTGAGCGAGCGGACGGTCTTGGCCGGGGGAGAGCCCAGGTCCTCGGCCACCAGCGTCAGGTTGTACTCGGCCACGCGCTCGCGGTCCAGGGGCCCGGTGGTCAGCAGCAGGTAGCTGGCGGCGTCGTAGGCGCGCTGCAGGGCGAAGGGCTGGTGGGGCGCCGGCAGGAGGGCGCAGCGCACCTGGCCGTTGGCGCCCGCGTCGCTGTCCGAGGTGCTGACCAGCGCCACCAGGCTCTGGGCCGGCGCCGCCTCGCTCACCGCCGCCCAGCCGGCCTCCTCCTCCTCCTCCTCCTGCTGCTGCT